CCACTCTGATTAACATTCACCGCGACGCACGCGCCAGAGCCTGCCTGTTGTAGGCCACGAGTGCAGTATCAGCAAACAGGATATGAACATGTAAGAGATGTGTGTGGCATAATGTGGATGGAAAGAGTAATCACTAAGATACTACTGTGTGATAATAACCGGTTATTCTCAAACGAGTTCGTTCGTCAAAGCCCGAACTCGTTTATTGTTTCTTAACTGCTTCTCGTTCCTCATAGTTACAATTTCTTTCAATTAATCAAGTGTTATTTTCGCCTTATGGTACCATCTACAGTATTGTCCATGGTCTAACATTTATAGTGGTACAGCCGACGCGCTAACACCATACTGTAGACCCTACAGTATATACAGTATGGTGTTCACGTGACGTCAGACCGACTAATTGGTTATACAGTACATCATTGTCCGTATGTTTCGTTTTGGTGCATCCCCTTGTCACCTGTCGACCTCACCACCTGCCACCCAGCGCTTGATCACTGAACAGGATGGACCATGACGTTAACCACGCACCTGGCCAGAGGACTTGCTCCTCATTATTCCTGGTTCAAGGCTCACGCACATACCCTGAGTCAGCGCGCTTCACTGTGGGGAGACTCGTTCATCAGAGAGAGGACCTTAAGTTTTTATTTGCGATCTGTGTAAGACGTTTGAAGTTTGAAGTATATATATATACTGTATATATATATGCAAGTAAATCATGGGTGCGCGTGATCTAGGTATATGCTGATAACCACAAGGAAAGAAGAAAACACGAAGTTCCCAAGCGCTTTCGTGTAATTCACATCTTCAGGGGTGAGTACAGACTAGAGAGAGAAATACAAACCAAGGTGTATATATACAGAGGAGGGCGACCAGGTCCACAATGGTCAGGTATTAGGTAATGACTCTACTAATCTTTAAATAGCACCCTGAAGATGGATACACAGCGCTTGGGAACTTCGTTTTCTTCTTTCCCTTGGTTATCAGCATATATATATATATATATATATATACAGTATATATATGCTGATAACCTACAGTGATTTACTTGCATATATATATAAATATAAATATATATATATATATATATATATATATATATATATATATATATATATATATATATATATATATAATGTTGTTTCCCCGGTGTTTGTTACCTCTGCTCAACAGTAACTTAACTATATATAAAAGAGTGTTGAGGTGCCGACCAAGAGTGCCTGTTACCTGCGGTTATAGAGCTAATTGCTGCGAACATCTGAGTCTGGTTAATATTTAATGAGTAGCAGTGTGGGTATCGAGTAGAAGTTTTGTTTAAGTATCCAAGTGCGACGAGTTTCTGTCTCTCGTATAATTTATTGTAAATTTATATGCAAGGGAAATTTGGGTTTGGTTTTCATAAACGAATTAGACTTAGTGGAAACTTAATCACGAAAGTTTCCTGTATGAATGTAACTGACGCCTCCTTGTCCAAAAGAGCGAGCAATTACTGATGGTGTGTTCAACACTTGCCGTATACCACTGTGTATATATAGCTTAATCACTACCAGTATAAATGTTTGTAGTTCATGTATATACACAAACATTTTGGAATGTCCTTCATCTTAAATGCAAATGACCGCATGCTGAGTCAACAGATATTACCATAAACTGCACCCACTGACACCACTTGTGTCACCACATTCGCTGCTGACACCACTTGTGCCACCACACTCGCTGCTGACACCACTTGCCACCACATTCGCTGCTGACACCACTTGTGTCACCACATTCGCTGCTGACACCACTTGTGCCACCCTCGCTGCTGACACCACTTGTGTCACCACATTCGCTGCTGACACCACTTGTGCTACCACACTCGCTGCTGACACCACTTGTGTAACCACATTCGCTGCTGACACCACTTCTGCCACCACATTCGCTGCTGACACCACTTCTGCCACCACATTCGCTGCTGACACCACTTGTGCCACCACACTCGCTGCTGACACCACCTGTGCCACCGCATTCGCTGCTGACACCACCTTTATAAGATACAATGTGGTCATACAAGTAAGACTGGTCGGGGTCGGCCTCACTTCCGACCACCAATTAGTGTGCCAAGAGTTCCAAACAAAACAACAGAACGAGAAGGGAACTATGTATTACAGATGTCTAAATATAAAGTTAAATACTCCATAACATATCACAAAAATATTATATGACATTATATACTACAACATACTATACATAGTGTAGGAAGAGTATTTTATATCCATGTGTGAAAAAGAGGTCTGAGAAGGTGCATGTGATATAACGCCGCACAAAGGATTCCCTAACCTAACACTAGAGTGTAAACAGCAGCCTGGTGTAACATAAGGTATAATGCTCACCAAACACCGCGTGACAATCCTACTGCTCAGGTATATCAACCAAATTTATTACACCTTGACACAACGGGAATACACTAGAGCGTAACTCAGAAAATTGTTTGTCCACTTAGCCCCTCCACGCCCGGGTAGACGATAAAGGGCATAATTACCTCGTGTGTACACAGTTGGAAGCCTTTATGTTCGGGACTCCTTGTTACACGCTGCCAACTGCACCATATACAGTTTGTTGTCTATATCAAACAGTACATATGCATAGTACACGATACATATTGCCTAGTGTCCCTTGCACACAATAATGTAAACAATACGCTCTTATAGTAAACTGTGGCGCCCGTCAAGTACTGCGTCACCAATTATTGATAACTGCCGTCATTACCACTAAATGTATTAGCGATATTATTACCTGCAATAAATTTAACGCGACAATTACTTCATATTTCAGTAAGTTTCTTGTCGTGCTCTTATGGGTCACTTTATCACCTCACTTCAGATGTCATGGCTGAATTTTATTCCCCGTAACACTAAAACAACTCAGGTCTGCCCTGCTGTCTGTTTAAACCCATTTACGGATGTTGCATGTTGTGACAGTTGGTTACTGCTTTGTAATGTTTCATTCGTTCTTCTTCTTTTTTTAATTAATTCACTTTTGAAATTAACATCACTGTAGTCTCTTAACCTACAATGTGTCCTCAATTATCGGTGTGTGTGTGTGTGTGTGTGTGTGTGTGTGTTACGTTAATAAGGATAATCGGCGCTTAGACTTTAAAAAGCAATTGACGTTTTTGCTAAATAAGAATAACTTTTCATTTTTATTGCCACAGCTTAATGTGTTAATGTAAAATTAGGTGTGTTTTTTTTTTCATTTACGACGTCGTTTACCATCATAAGTTACATATAAAGTAGATTAGGTTAGGTTTTGTCAAATAAAAATATTCAGAGAATTAAGCAATTATACAGAGAGAGTTTTCTATCAGGCTCTCTACACCCTGTCCCTCTTAGCTCTTATATCCCTTCATTTTCCTCTCCTGTCGTCACCTCGAGTGTCTACCTCCCTGCCCCCCCAATCTTGGCGTCCTCCTCCGGTAGGCGAAGCCCCACAGAACCTCTCCTTGCTTTAGTTTGCATTGATATATTTATTTTCCGTATTTTTTCCACGTTGCTACAAGCTCTCGTTCCACTCACCTTTGAGTATAACACGAGTAGGTTCAGTGTGCACTATTCCTGGAAGGATCTATATTAATTGATGCTATATTAACATGCCAGGAAAACTGTTCTAACATTCGCATGAAGGTTAGGTTAGGTTAGCTTTACGGTATTTGATCATCAGCGGAGGTTCCTAATTTTCACGAATTCCATGGACGTTGTTTTTGACGGCGTGTAAGTTTAAGTTTTGTGAATTATAAAACTTTTGACGTCATTTTGTTTCGTGCTCTTCATTTTTCTGTGGAGTTTTCAGACTTTCTTGCAATAAAAACTGATCATAGGTATTAGTTTTAAACGAAAAAGGTAACAAGATGTGATGTATGGGGTGGGTATGGACGCCATGTTGTAGTGTTGGCAAACATGGGCTGAGTTGACAGAAGCCCTTCCAAGTGTTGTTTAAGGCTTCGCGCCACCACTCTCAGCAGATTACCTTCCCTTTTCTCATCCCTAATCATCGCTCTCTCTTTCTCAGCCGAGGATATTTTCACTGAATGATCAGATACAAATATAAAGGTTATGTACCACGAATAACAAGTAGAAAAGTTATTTAAATCTTTTCACAATGAACTGCCAGCGACTGCTGGTGACGTAAGAAGAAGCCGGGGAGGTGCCACACAACCTCGGCTCCGAGATTTCTGTCGACCAATCGTGTGCAAGCGCGGAGCTCCGTGTAGAGACGAGGGGTGGCTGGAGGCGAGTAGCCAAGCGCCCATGTTGAAGGAAGGGAGCGGGGGAAGCGTCGAGGGGAGAGGAGGCGGGGCATCGTGCCGGGGTTCTGGGTAAACGGAAGAGGAGGCTGGGTAATGCGTCGATGCTCTGAATTAACATGGGAAGCATCACGGTGCTCCATTACTGAGGGGCGGAGCTCCATATTAAGGGGAAGAGAGGCGAGGTAGTCTAGCAGGGCTTCATGATAAGAGTGGGGGAGGGGGAGGGGCGGATAACTATGCCGTCACTCTGTGTTTAGGGAAGGGGAGGAGAGGAGGGGCAGCGAGTGGGAGCTCAGTATTTTAGGGATGGAGGTCAGGCAGCGTGTTGTTATTTCCATGCTAAAAAAATTGGTTTATTTAAACCAAATTGTTTTTCACTTGAATGTATTTAGGTGGTTAATTACACATTTTTGTCCACTTTACAATTATTACATCGCTGAATGTAATTATTTTATATATATATATATATATATATATATATATATATATATATATATATATATATATATATATATATATATACTGGAAAAAAGGGAAGCTACTTTCTTTCTATTCAGTGTCACAAACAGAGATCAAGCATAAATGGATCTAATATCTGATTAAGGTAAAGTACATGACCCCTACTGGTTTATTTACAAATTTCTTTACCACGTGATATTTCTTATTCGTAATTTATTCGTAATTAAGCGTAATATATAATTATCAATAATGTTTACAGAGTGTGAGAGTCCACTAGGTGGGTGTGTGGCGTCTGGCCCGATGGTGGCCCCTGGTGGGTATCTCAACAGTACATGGCCACTGCCTCCTGGCCTCCTCTACCCCTACTCCTCCTCCCTCATGGGTTCCTACCCTTCAGCCGCGACCCTGGGTTCACTGTGGAATTCTACTACCCTCGGTGGCTCACACAATAAGCACTATACAGGTGAGTTTGGCCGGTATAATTACAGTACGTTTGGTTCTTCCCCATCCCACCTTCTCTTGATAAACACTCCTCCAACCTGCCTTTATGACGTTTGCACCACGTACCCTACTTTATGCACCCTACTTTGGTGGACACTTCACACGTACCCTACTTCTTGGGACTAGACACCTTCACACGTACCCTACTTCTTGGGGCTAGACACCTTCACATGTACCCCACTTCTTGGGGCTAGACACCTTCACACACCCTACTTGGGGCTGAGACACCTTCACACGTACCCCATTGGACTAGACACCTTCACGTACCCCACTTCATATACACCTTCACACGTACCCTACTTGGGCCACATTCACATAATTCTCACTGGCTAGACACCTTCACATGTACCCTACTTCAACCTTCACATGTAACTTCGGCCAGACACCTTCACATGCACCCCACTTCTTGAGTGGACACCACACACCCTACTTGGCTGACACCTTCACACGCAACTCCACTTGGGCCAGACACCTTCACACGCAATTCCACTTGGGCTAGACACCTCAACATGTACCCTACTTCTTGGGGCTAGACACCTTCACATGTGTACCCTACTTCTTGGGCTAGACACCTTCACATGTACCCTCTTCTTGGGCTAGACACCTTCACATGTGCCCTACTTCGGCGAGACCACACGTCCCTACTTCTTGGGCTGGACACCTTCAGAATGCCCTACTTCTTGGGGCAGACACCTTCACACGTGCCTCACTTCTTGGGGCAGACACCACGCGTACCCTACTTCTTGAAGACAGCAAGCCCATTTCTATAATCAATCAATTCACCGCCCTTTGCTTGCCTGTAATGGTTAATACGTTGCTACTTTACCTTTTTAGTCATTTAACAACAATGTCTTGTTCTTTATTGTATAAAGACAATATCACAGTTATAGTAATTTAGCTTATGAGTAGAAGCGATGGGTTCAGTGCAAGTTGATGCTATTAGACCACTTTTTTCTCCTCAGGTGGTCCAACGCCTCCAAATCCCGAGAAACGCGACGAACCTCTCAATTTGTCTCTTAAGAGCTGCCGCACCACCAAGGCAACAATATGGTCTCCTGCCTCTGCATTAGAACAAGAGGAAAGGGAAGAGTCATTGCCCTCCCCAACAGGTCGTCTTAGCCCTATGGACTCGAGTGACTGTGAGGTCATACCAGCGGCACATGAAGACACATGCAGAGACCCACGGGCTCCAGCCCTCGATCCGATCAGCCTCCGACTTGGTCTTCGTCAGTATGCAGACTTCGTAGTGAATCTTCAGGGTCTGGCGACACGTGACAAGGAAGAAGGAGCCATTGCACACCGAGAGGAAGGACTGTCGCCGTCGTGGTGCCCTGGGGTGTGGCCCTGGGCGCCCCTGTACAGGGGTGCAGATGTGTTTACCTGCCAACAGTGCCCGAAAACTTTCAGCTCACCCCTAAAACCGAAGTCCACATGAAGCGAACCCACTCCCACATAAGTAAAGGCTATGACTCCTACGCACCAGACAACGATAAGACAGTCTCGCAACCACTGGGTCTTACAACAGTGTCTCCAGCCAGGACCGAAAAGACTTTCCAGGTGAGTTAACAACGGTGAATAACAATCTTTTTCATCAAAATACATAAGACTTACAAGTGCTTTACGAACAACGTAAATATATATTACATGCTTATCGAAAGTGTTTTAAAGTCATTTATTCATATTACAAATATATCGAACTTATTTACATAAACCAAGATTCACTTTGTACGAATCCTACTAATTCTAAACTCAACTGCAAATCTTTATTTACCTTAAAAAGTAAAGAAACTTGACGTAGCCTTATTGACCGACAGTGTAAGCAGTGTGGGAAATGCTTCAAGAGGTCATCAACGCTTTCCACCCACCTCCTCATCCACTCTGACACCCCTTACCCTTGTCAGTATTGCGGCAAGCGCTTCCACCAGAAGTCCGATATGAAGAAACACACATTCACACTGGTGAGTTTAGAGGTGCATGAACTTGTTATAAAATACATTGAAATTTAGGAAAAAACATGTGAAAGGTAGAAACCATCAAAATCTTTAATACTCAACGTACAAACTTAACTTCTCCAACACCTGGGCACGATGGATGTGAGAATGAGCAGAATGGAGCTGGTCATCGCGGAATGGTTTCTGAATTGTTGTTAAATTTTCAGATTGCATAGTGCTTATAGAGTTCAAGAAGTTTTTGGTGAGTGTGTACATGACTTGACAAAAAAACACATACAAACTGGTAACCACATTGTTACGTGAATTTGTATGTATACGAATATTTCATTTTATATACTGTATAAGGTGCAGTATACTGTATACTGTGCAAGGTGCAGTACATACGACTGTGATTCCTTGAGTAATTCTGCAGACGAGAGTTAAGAGGTTAGGATAGGCTAGGTGACGCATACTGTACATGCGATAATCTGTACTGTATATAATATTGTTTATAGATAAGTAAGTCTCCTCACACCACCTGTCTCCTCACACCACCTGTCTCCTCACACCACCTGTCTCCTCACACCACCTGTCTCCTCACACCACCTGTCTCCTCACACCACCTGTCTCCTCACACCACCTGTCTCCTCACACCACCTGTCATCACTCAACAGCAACATTATCTTCCCCGTAAATCACACGACGCCAAGCGAAAATAAAGGTCGTTATCCACCAGGTGTGGAAGTGAGGGTGTGAACCACCAGGTGTGGAAGTGCGGGTGTGAACCACTAGGTGTGGAAGTGCAGGTGTGAACCTGGTGTGGAAGTGAGGTGTGAGCCAGGTGTGGAAGTGCGGTGTGAACCACCAGGTGTGGAAGTGAGGTGTGAGCCACCAGGTGTGGAAGTGAGGTGTGAACCACCAGGTGTGGAAGTGAGGGTGTGAGCCACCAGGTATGGAAGTGAGTGTGAGCCCGGTTTGGAGTGAAGGTGTGAGCCACCAGGTATGGAAGTGTGTGAGCCACCAGGTGTGGAAGTGGGGTGTGAACCACCAGGTGTGGAAGTGAGGGTGTGAGCCACCAGGTGTGGAAGTGAGGTGTGAGCCACCAGGTGTGGGAAGGGTGTGAACCACCAGGTGTGGAGTGAGGTGTGAGCACAGGTGTGGAAGTGAGGTGTGAGCCACCAGGTGTGGAAGTGAGGGTGTGAACCACCAGGTATGGAAGTGGGGTATGGCCACCAGGTGTGGAAGTGAGTGTGAACCACAGGTATGGAAGTGAGGGTGTGAGCCACCAGGTGTGAAAGTGAGGGTGTGAACCACCAGGTATGGAAGTGAGGTGTGAGCCACCAGGTGTGAGTGGGTGTGGAAGTGAGGGTGTGAGCCACCAGTGGAAGTGGGGTGTGAGCCACCAGGTGTGGAAGTGGTGTGAGTCACCAGGTGTGGAAGTGAGGTGTGAGCCACCAGGTGTGGAAGTGAGGGTGTGAGCCACCAGGTGTGGAAGTGGGGGTGTGAGCCACCAGGTGTGGAAGTGAGGTGTGAGCCCAGGTGTGGAAGTAGGGTGTGAGCACCAGGTGTGGAGGTGGGGTGTGAGCACCAGGTGTGGAAGTGAGGTGTGGGCCACCAGGGTGGAAGTGAGGTGTGAGCCACCAGGTGGAAGTGAGGGTGTGAGCCAGGTGTGGAAGTGAGGTGTGAACCACCAGGTGTGGAAGTGGTGTGAGCCACCAGGTGTGGAAGTGGGGTGTGAGCCACCAGGTGTGGAAGTGAGGGTGTGAGCCACCAGGTATGGAAGTGAGGGTGTGGCCACCAGGTATGGAGAAGTGAGGGTGTGAGCCACCAGGTGTGGAAGTGGGGTGTGAGCCACCAGGTGTGGAAATGAGGTTGTGAACCACCAGGTGTGGAAGTGAGGTGAGCCCAGGTGTGGAAGTGAAGGTGTGAACCACCAGGTATGGAAGTGAGGTGTGAGCCACCAGGTGTGAAAGTGAGGTGTGAACCACCAGGTATGGAAGTGAGGGTGTGAGCCACCAGGTGTGAAAGTGAGGTGTGAACCACCAGGTGTGGAAGTGAGGTGTGAGCCACAGGTGTGAAAGTGAGGGTGTGAACCACCAGGTGTGGAAGTGAGGGTGTGAGCCACCAGGTGTGGAAGTGAGGTGTGAGCCACCAGGTGTGGAAGTGGTGTGAGCCACCAGGTGTGGAAGTAGGTCTGAGCCACCAGGTATGTGGGGTGTGAGCCACCAGGTGTGGAAGTGAGGGTGAGCCCATGGAGTGAGGTGTGAGCCACCAGGTGTGGAAGTGGGCAGCCACCAGGTATGGGGTGTGAGCCACCAGGTGTAAGTAGAGGTGTGAACCACCAGGTGTGGGAAGTGAGGGTGTGAGCCACCAGGTATGGAGAGTGAGGAGGGTGGGCACCAGGAGTGGAAGTGAGGGTGTGAGCCACCAGGTGTGGAAGTGAGGTGTGAGCCACCAGGTGTGGAAGTGAGGGTGTGAACCACCAGGTGTGGTGAGGTGTGAGGGTGTGAGCCACCAGGTGTGTGGAGGTGGGGTGTGAGCCACCAGGTGTGGAAGTGAGGGTGTGGTGTGAGCCACCAGGTATGGAAGTGAGGGGTGTGAGCCACCAGGTGTGGAAGTGAGGTGAGCCACCAGGTGTGGAAATGAGGTTGTGAACCACCAGGTGTGGAAGTGGGGTATGGCCACCAGGTGTGGAAGTGAGGTGTGAACCACCAGGTATGGAAGTGAGGGTGTGAGCCACCAGGTGTGAAAGTGAGGTGTGAACCACCAGGTATGGAAGTGAGGGGGTGTGAGCCACCAGGTGTGAAAGTGAGGGGTGTGAACCACCAGGTGTGGAAGTGAGGTGTGAGCCACCAGGTGTGAAAGTGAAGGTGTGAACCACCGGGTGAGGTGGGGTGTGACCACCAGGTGTGGAAGTGAGGGTGTGAGGCACTAGGTGTGGAAGTGAGGGTGTGGGGCAACAGGTGAAACCACCAGGTGTGGAAGTGGGGGGTGTGAGCCACCAGGTATGGAAGTGAGGGTGTGAGCTATGCTGATGGTGTGAGCCACCAGGTGTGGAAGTGGGATTTAAGCCAAAAAGGTTTGTAAATAAGAGCTAAGTGCAGGTGCTGGCGTAATATATTATTCAGCAGGTGTGGAATAAGAGGCGAGTCAACAGGTATGGGAATAAGGGCAGAGTCAACAGGTATGAATAAGGGGTGAATCAACAGGTGTGGGAATAAGAGGCGAGTCAACAGGTGTGGGAATAAGGGGCGAGTCAGCATTGGTTATGGAATACAGGGGTGAATCAACAGGTGTGGGAATAAGAGGCGAGTCAACAGGTGTGGAATAAGGGGCGAGTCAACAGGTATGGAATAAAGGGGTGAATCAACAGGAGTGTGGGAATAAGGGGCAGAGTCAACAGGTCAACAGGTGTGGGAATAAGGGGCGAGTCAACAGGTATGGAATAAGGGGTGAATCAACAGGTGTGGGAATAAGGGGCGAGTCAACAGGAGTGGGAATAAGGGGCGAGTCAACAGGAGTGGGAATAAGGGGCGAGTCAACAGGAGTGGGAATAAGGGGTGAATCAACAGATGAGGAAGAAAAGGTGTAATGCAGAGAGTATAAAAGGGCGCAAGAATTTTAAGTATCATGATGTAGAAGTACATAATGATTTGAAGGAGCAGGTATGGGGGTAGTTATGTTATGCAGCAGGTCTAGAGGTAAGTAAGAGTGGGAAGGAGCAGGTGTGTCCAGCAGTAGATATGGTCTAAGGTGCACTGATGCAACAGGTGTACATGAGTGGTAGGTAGTGGAGTATAGCTCGTGTGGTAGTAGGTAGCATACAGTAGTGTATGTTATGGTAGTTGACGTGGCAATTATTGATACAGAGTGTAGATATTAGGTGTTGGGAGTAGCGGCGGGAGTGTTTACATTTGTGAGTGGATATATTATGCTAATATCAAACGCTTAGGAGTGAGGGCGTGTAGAAAGTGGTGTTTGGGAGGGAAAGAAGGAATATGAAGCTTCTTTCGCGGAGATAGTGAGAGGGCTTGTGTGGAGGGGCGTGTAGCAGCGGACGTGTGGGAAGGGGCCGCCTCAATACCTCTACCAACCACGTAACCCGATATTGATATTTCCATCGTACACAATTACGCTTTCAAGAGCAGGTCTTAGGGCGGAATGCCAGATCCATTTATCACGTCTCTTACCGTGAAAGACGTTCCTGGCTGCGTGGATACGCTCCTTTGTGTACCGCGCCGCGACAACCGCCCTCTCTCAAGATTTGTGGCTCGCCCATCAAGATTTCATCGACCAAACCTACGAAGAGTTAAGCAGCGTATTGAATGTAGAATATTTATATTTCTTAAAGGTACATTCTATAATTTGAGGGTATTTTCCGCCATAAGAGAGGATGAGGCTCACGAAGGGAAGCCACATACAGTTAACAACGTCGAACATATTTGTGTCGGTTACGTTTTTGTTTGTCTGTCTGTTTCTCGGACGCCTTGGTTAATAAGAATCCGATAAATGACGATACTTCTCTTTGTCAAAAGATTCACTTGTGTTCTACACCAAAGACACTCCTTCGTGGAGTTCTTTAATTACTCGCAACTTTTAAGTGTAGCACTTTCTAAATAAAGAGTGCGGCGATTGAGTGGTATAGTTCTCGCCTCCAGTCCTAAGGATTGGTGGTTCAATCCTGGGGCACTCCTAGTCCACCCAGTTGTAAATGGGTACCTAACTTTACAACTTGGGGATGTGAATGCGGTCGAGTGCAGTACCGGCCATGCTGCCTCCGTGTGTACTGAAGGTTTAGTGTGCTGTACAGTGTGCTGTATCCACACTGCCCCTAACGGGCAGTCATGCCTGTGGGACCCACTTTTAATTCTTCATTTTCTAAATATAAGCTATTGGTCGAGGTTCGTGCAAGTGGTTTAATGTGGTACATCCACTACAACCACACACTCTTACACATCTGCATTGTACAATCTCTACAACCACACACTTTTACACATCTTTATTGTACAACCACTACAACCACACAC